GATTTTTGATGAAAATCAAGACACATTGTACTCAGTCCAGTAACCTACGTTTTTGAGGTTTTCAATGAAAACCCACTTAATTTTGAGCTTATCACAGATGTTACCACCAGTGGCGTTACCTGATGGGGGTCAGAGGGGTGACACACGCGGGATTTATTTTTTCTGAACCTTTAGGAGCCCGTCTACGAGAGCCTTAAATCAAAATGTATCCATTTCATCACTGTAGAACTAAATGTCGCGAAACAACCTCCAAACGATCATTAATTAATGCAAAGTACAATTACAGCAGGTGGTTAACACGATATCTGTTACCTATCCGGGGATAATTCAACACTCTCTGGGGTACTGCCGTGATCGAATAAGGATACATACCAGGGTTCCTTAATTATCTTTTTTTCTCCTCTGTTCGTGACATAAAACTACTGCTACCAGTAATTTGATCTATTGTAGTACATCCCGTGTCTTTAGTTTAGTGCATGTCGTATTACTTCATCACTATTGAAAAATGATGAAGTATCCGGTTTTGATACAGTTGTCATACTTGCCTTCATCGCAAGGAATCGATTCTAATTGAAAGGTCCCGCTATTTACACCCTCCAAAGGCACGCCCCTTTGTCAGTCAAAATTGGATTGCTTAATAACAAAATAAAGCAATGACACCGATAGTGACCATGCATCAGAACCCTAGCCACTTCAAACTATGGAACAACGAATAGAAGATTAGGAATCACATAGGGGAATTTACATATTCTCGGCAACCTAAGCAGCGACCTTCTTTCTATAGCCTTTTTCTCTAAGGAACGCACACATATGCAGTATTGGTTTGTTTACAATCTTTTGCTGCCAGCTGCTCTAACAATTTCAGTCGAAAGAATTGTCAAAAACTGTTTTGAAACGCTTTTACAAAGCTCTAATCTTCTCTAGTGAGAGCGAGTATTGTCGGCAACCAGTTTTTCTTCGGCAACCGTTCCATTTGAACTGCATGTAAATCTGCTGTTCTATTATCGGCAACTCGAAATCAGCTACAATTTGTAGAGCGTGTGTTGCATTTCAAGAAAACCTTACTAGATTGCTTTTTCTCAGTGGTAAAAATATAGTCAAATTGAAGCTGAAAGCATACAGAATCGTTTGCATGCATTCAGCGAAGTGTTTTCGTAAGAAAATCCAGTGAAAATAGTGTTTCAATTTGTGTTGCCGAAAATAGTCTGTCATGCCGAAGCCGTCATTTCCCGTAGATAAAGACTAACTAACTAATTTTCTCCTTGTTTCAAGATCATCCTCGATCCAGGCAACCCGAGGACTTATCACTATCAACAAGGCATAAAAAGTTACAAGGACTAAGATGTGTTCCTTTGATTACTGAAAAATCCTGTTCCCCTAGTTTGAAGTAGTCAAGACTAGAAATCGGTGGTAGATCTTATACCCGTAACGTACCACGAAAAGGTGATCTACCCATGTTACAGGGCCTTATTATCTTTATATGAACGTGAATTTTTTAAAGATTATATTAGACTGTATAAATACTTTCAGCTAATTTTAAAATTAAAATTTGAATCTATAGATTTTTTTGACCAAAATACTTTTCTACAATTCCCAATTTAGTCTCTTTAACTACAATTTCTATACAATCAACAGTTTTTGAGTTGTTATTTAAAAAAAAAACAGCATAAAAGGTGTTACGATCAAAATTTGATTTATTTCAAAAATTAAGTTATTTTTCTTTTTTAAGTTCAATTAGTATAAAATACAGAAAAAAAATATTCAGCTAAGTTGACTGAATTCGAATTTCCAAACCTTCGTTAAACTGATGCCATCATATGCTGTACAGCCACCTCGTCCACTTTGTACGCCGCAGAACGCCAGTTTGTCTTAAACTGCTTCACACTTCCAACAGTTGTTTGTGTCTTCTTCAGGTTCCGCTTGACAATAATGGCCCAATATTTGTCGATTGGCCAAAGCTCTGGCGTGCTGAAAGGGTTCTTGTTCTTGAGCACCACCTGCATGTTATTGACGGCATACCACTTCATGGCCTTTTCCCGTAATCCGGCCACAACAGCACGGAACAGTCGTGTTGCTTCAGGAAAGGCAGCAGACGTTTTTTCAGACACTTGTTCACTTAAATTTCCTGGTTGAAGGTCCCGGTTGCAATGAAAATCTCGCTTTTCAAGCCACATATATTTCTTAGTGAACTTCGACAGTTCCATATGCTTGAAAATGTCTGCGCCTTTCCCCTTCGGGTTGCCGTATAAAACTCCTGCCCAGGAAGCTGTTTGAAATCTGCCTTGACGTAGGTTTCGCCGTCCATTACCATGCAAACGAATTTCGTCAGCATCGTCATGTACAGCTTCCGGGATCGTATTTTGGCCGTCTTGTTTTGTTTATCGTCGCGATTTAAAGTCACTATCTTGTTATAAATCGACAGTCCAGCTCGTTTTTTTAGCTCGATGCACAATTGTAGACGACACTCCCAGCTTGTTTGCGATAACTCGGACGTAGAGGTTGGGATTCCGCTTGAAACCGCTGGCCACTCTTTTTGTCGTCGTTCCGGATATTGATTTCCCCCCAGTTCAGGTTTCCTGACTGTCAACAAACCTTCCCCGAACACTTTTATTACGTTGGTGACCGTTGATTTGGCCACTTTTAACAATTTCGCTAACTCGGCGTGCAAGTAGTTCGGATTCGCGATGCGCGTGCAAAATTTTGATGCGTTGCTCCTCTTGCTTGGACGCCATTTTGATAACTGAAAAGCAAATGTCAAAATCAAAATAGAGGCATCATTCTGCACCTACAAAATGAGAGGTGTTCAGATTTTTCAAATGCTCAATTAAAAGAAATGCGTCGTAACACCCTTTATGTGAAAAAAATCATCTTGAGCCGAAATGGTCTCTTGATCTGTGTAAAATATATAGTTGGGGGATTGTCTATTTGCCATAGAATTTCTCAAAATGTACAAGAAAAAAAAATCCCTAGAATCATATCTTCCTTTAATTTGATGTGTCGGTTGACCGGTTTAGTAATTTAGGTTAGGTTTATCGGCCTTCCCTGTCTTGGAGTGAAACGGAACAACTGCTAGGTACCTTTTCATCCTACGTTTCGACAGAATTTCTTTAAAAATCAAGGAACAAATTTCTTAATCTTCTCTTAAAAGTAATATTAATCTCGCTAGTCTTATACAATTTAATTACTCGGTGTATTTTTAGAATGTTTGTAAATTAATAAAATCTTCAATATAATTGTGCGCTATTTTAATTGCTTAAACAAAGAACATAGTCTTCTCTAGTTTAAAAATTACAGATGCGTCACTGTAAGAACTGTCAAAATCTTATGAATATACAGATGAGATTCTGTTTGGCGAACTGAATTTTGATGATTTTGAACCGTCCCTGAGTTGAAGTGGGATCCAGAGGGACGGTAAAAATCCATTTACATCTTTGCGTAGGGCTATACATTGTTGGTTGTGACAATACTCATGCTCCAAGTGGATTAGCGCGTTTCTGGGTGGCGCTGTGTTTAGTTCGGTCCAACAAAAATTAAACCTCTGACAATGGGTTGGAGCGTCGTTGTGTAAATGCAAGAATGGCAAAAGGTTAAGAGATATATTTCTGAATACTTGTAGTTCTAGTTCTTCATTGTATGCTAAAGTGCCGGATAAATTCGGACATTAAGCTATCCAATGAAAGTTTAAAATTATAATCCTGCTTGGATGGACGAATTTTTGATTTCTTGAAGTAGCAAGGGTCTTAGCTTTTGTGACAAGCAATGCATTAGGTATAGAAAAAACGTCACGAATGGAGGGGGGGTAAATTCCTCCTCGATTCAGCCCTAATGGATATGTTTGGTCTTCTTCTTCTTCTTCTTCTTCTTATTTTCCTTTATTTAACGTCGGTCTCTGTTCCGCAATCTAGTGCCAATCACCGACGGACATCGATTGCCATCCATTGACGGCAACCGAATGTGCAGGAAGGCAGCTTCCACACCTGCGTAGGATATCGCACCCATTCAACACACATGGGCCGGGACCAACGGCTTTACTTCCCTTCCGAAGGAAAACGTGACCAGAGATTTTTATGCCTCAGAAAATCCCACCGACCTCGGCTGGGGATTGAACCCAGACCCATTGGGGTGTTAGAAAGCAGTCACGCTTACCACTACACCACCGGCGCCGGCGATATTTTTGGTCGTCATTGCAAATTTAGTCGATTGCTGAATTTATGTATGGGTCCAAATTAGGAGCATTTATGCCGACATTACATCCATTTCCCCTATACATATATATATATATAGCTATTTTATTTTTATTTTTGATAAAAAATCGTTCAGTTCAGCAACCACCTCATAAGTTGAATCTCAATTACTAAACAACCTCTCTGAACGAAATAGGCCAATGTACAACATTTATATATTTTGGTTGATCGAGCAGCGAGTTCGTTGAAAGCACTTTTTACCAGGGCTTCATAGCATCAGTCCCCCGATCCATATCAACACAATAAACTTAGCTCCCGGTTCTCACACTTCCCTTCTGATCACGGCTTGATAATACCACACCACCCCACTCAAATTCAGTGCTGCTTGACGGCGCTGCCTGCCTCAACCGACGTCTAGTCGGACAAAGCAAAATTGCGCTCGTGCAATTGATTTAATCCACTGACCGTCGAGTTATGAAGCGTCTAACTGATATCATAGTATGAGAGCAGCCCCGAACTGACTTTAGTACACTAGGCAGGTAGTGCGGCTACTTCCATGTCTTGTTTACACTAACTTTAGCAGCGTCAGAAATCCGTGCGCTGCTACTCGTGTGAAAGGAGGGGTTTTGGTTCATTCTCTCCACTGGTTGTCGGCGGTGGACGCGGACGCTGCATCAGCTAGACACACAGTTGCAGTCTTAAATCCGTCGTCAATCGCGGCGCCGCGTCGAGTTTCCTTCGCACAGATACTCTCATCCACCAGAAACTGTCCTGTGTCGGATAAAGAGAGTGGTTATCATCATCTTTTGTATATATGTTCGGGTCACTCACGAGGGCGTTTGTTTCGTTTAGTGTTCTTTCTAATCGGTATATTGCTGTTATCAGTGTGTTTTTATGCTATTAGTTGGAACTAGGATTGATAAGAGGGAGATATAGTGTTGTGTTCTGCGACGGATCGACTTTGGTGCACGGATCATATAAGTGCAACTCGGTGATTTCAGTGACTGAGTTGCGCTTCAACTGATTGATACCTTCGGAGTTTACCCGTTTGCAAAAGAGAGGTGAAATTATGCAACTAACTATAGAAGAGATATAGTTGTACCAGTGATGTAAACAGAGAAAAAATACACAGAGTCTTGTGATCAAAGTACTGTGTAATTCTGAGTGAAAAGAGGAAGGTGTATGAGGAAATTCGATCATACCAGAAGATAATTTCTTTTTCAATAAGAAGGTGCGGTATGCAGAAGCAATGATTTCAGTCGTGGATAATTGTCGTGAAAGTGCATAGTTGCTGAGTGATCAGCTGTTTGTCAACAACAACAAGATTAGCAACGTGCTCAACTTGGGCTCGATATTTTGTCGCAAAAGTGGGTAATTAGTTACCATCAGGTTACAGAGCATATACACGTTTACGGAGGGCAGACAAGTTGCCGATTGTCGAGCCTCCCTGGCCTACCCTGAAGGTCAATGAAGCAATCGGTAATTACTGTGTTTTATAAATCTTCTCGCCATCTCCTTCAAACAAGCTTGCAAACTTGTATTAACACGATATGATGCAGTTGTCGTTGTTCGACCCATTCAGGTCCAGCTGTTCGAAAGTAGGAATGAAGTCGTCAAATTATTTACTGGATCATATGTACATACAAAATTTGCAATCCCCGATAAATTTCAAGTTGCGAGGCATTAGGAAAAACCCATTTGCTTTCCTCCTGAAATACATAGGGGATGAAACAGGTAAAAGTAAACTCGGTAGAGGTTCATGGCTTCATTTTTATTATATTTATTTATTTAACGACGGTCATTTGGACGCTCGTGTCATGGTGAAGTAGGTACTACAGCAATGACCCGATTTTGTCAGCCCCTTTGCCCATCAGACTTTTATCTTTCAAGAATTTCTCATAACCGTAATTCCTCATTCTTCTTGGAAATGAATGTTGGTATACTTTGAAAAAGCGACTGATTTTCGTAGAACATTACGAAAAAATTTCAAAAAGGGAGCTGACAAAATCGAGTCATTACTGTATCATGGATAGATACATAGTACGGCATTGCTATATGGCTAGTAGGATATACCGGCCGATGTTGAGTAGAGTGTGACAGAACCGGAGAACAGTTTCAATCTGGCAATTCTCCACCCGAAGCAGTCAGTGTGTCGCAGTAATGAGCGGTTTCGTTGCTATTTTTGGCGCGCAAATTGGAAGCAATTTAGTTATTCCGACTAAACCGCAAGAAAGCAGCTTGTTGGCACTGATTGGTGAGAATTGTGGATGGCCGCAAGTGCTTGATGGATGCAAATCTGAGTCAGGGCGGAAATCGGCTTTAATTTAGAACGACAACAGGATGATTGTCATATCAAAACAACTCACTGACGTCTTTGCTATCCAGTATTTTGCGATCGTTAATGTCCGCCGTGAGTGTCCATGAATGTGACGTTCAGAAGAAGAAACTATTTACATGTTTCAGTTAAAGCCCTCTAGTTAAAGTACAAAATTGGAAAAAAGCTGTTCCAATCGAGCAAAGCGGTGCATTTCGACGGTTCGATTGGAACAACTTTTGACAAGCGTCCATACTTTTACTTTAGGGCTTTAGTTTCAGTCAAGGTAGATTTAATAATATTTGACAATTAACCTTTTTTATGAAAATCAACCTACATAGACACAAACATGTAAATATTTTCAACATCCAGAATGTCAAAAGGGCACTCAATAGAATACACTTGGCAACCATTATTGAACTCTAAATACTGAATGGGCACAGAACATATAGAAACATCTAGAATAGTAATGAATACGTATAACCTACGTCTGGCGAAGACAAATTGATGTCCCGGCAGCCCACATCTGAAAGTCTCTCTAATAAAGGAAAAACAAAATTATATCACTTTCAGACTGCTGCGATAGATTTCAACATCCACTCATCTAAGTTATGTGTTTAAACCACCGACAAACCGACATGAATGACCATACCCTTAAATTTCTTATCAAAGCACAAAACTAACATCTGCCGCTGTGTTCATGAAAAATGTGTATCCTAGCCACGAACACGCATGCAAAATGTATGAGTTGGTTCGTGTCTAATCTATTCCGGTCTAATTATTTTTATCTAGATAAAAAAAAAATCTATGGGTTTGACAGATGGGATCGCTGCACATTTTAATCCGCCGTTATGGATTCTCGATCAAGAGTTAAGATTAAGGTTCATGTCCCATGTCAGGAATGCTCACGAACCCCTAACATTTGCCAGAAAACTTACTACTAACTCAAGGTATCTTTCAAATAAGCTTCAAAATTGCATTTTTTTTTCAAATGTTAAATTCAGTCCTCTATATCCGTAATACGCGTGCGAGGCTCAAACCTTTGTAGACTACTTTTTTTTTTAAATTAATCTACTATTAAATCAAATATTAAAAATCCATCATCACCCTCGTGACGAACAGAAATAGTTTTTGCAGTGCTACAATAATTATTAAAAAAAAAGTCGTTATGACAGCTATCCATAGAAAATAATCCGTTAGAGATAACTTCGTCAAGATACATAATTTGTCAATTCATAAAAAAAATCACTGGATAACTGTTCAAAAGACAGTTTTAACGTGTGAAATGCAGTGTCTTTTAAATTCTGTGAGTGTTGCTAAACGTTTGATATGTCTAGGCATCGAATTGAAAACATTTATTTCTTTATAATATAATGAATTTTGTGAAGCACAAGTCAAGAAATGTGGTGTTCTTATTTCAACCGCGTTTCTAGTATTATATCTATGAAAGTCACTTCCTCTTTCAATTCGATCACACAAATATCGAGGCAGCAAACCGTTAACTACTTCAAAAATGAACACCATAGTCAAATATACAATTCTTTGCTTCACCGACAACCATTGTAAGGCGTCTAACATCAAAGTTGAGGAAGTGAATCTATTACATCTCAAAATCAAACGCATTATTTTATTCTGCAAGCGCTGTAATCTCGATATTTGTGTTGCATTGGCCAGAAATAAAATGCAAGGGCAAAAGTCAAGATGAGGAGAGATGAATGATTTGTACAGCTGTATTTTACTGGCAATAGTTAAATCGTTTTTCAGTCGACATAGAATTCCATACTTCTTGGAAATTTTCTTGATGACATTGTCAATGTGAGAGTTGAACTTAAGTGTGTCATCAATAATCACGCCAAGATATTTAATCTCCCGAACGCGATCAATAGTCTCATCATCAATTACAACAGAGACGTTCTCATTTACTCGATTCCGCGAAATTACCATAAATTTAGTTTTACTTGTATTCAATTTTAACTGCTTATACTTCAACCATCTACTTAGAGAACGCAAATCTTCATTCAAGTGTAAAACGGCATCATCTAAATCCTTAGCTGCAATGAATAACACAGTATCATCTGCAAAAAGATTAATGTCACAAAATCGTAAAACACATCGCACGTCATTAATATACATAATAAATAACAGGGGCCCTAATACACTTCCCTGGGGCACTCCAAGGTTATTCCCCACGGGACTGGAAAAAGAATCATTAAAAACAGTCCGTTGAGTTCTGTCAGACAAATAGCTTTCAAACCATTTATATGCAGTACTTGTAATTCCAAAGCGCTTGATTGATCTTAACAAAAAGGGCCTAGAAATTGTTTCAAAAGTGCGTTTAAGATCCAAAAAAACAGCAACAATCGTATCTTTACACTCCAAGTTATTTTTCCACTTCGCTAATACCAAATTCAACGTGGTTTCACAAGAATGACCTTCCCGATATCCCGATTGTTCTGCTATCAGCAAACTATTACTATTTAAATACTCCAACAGCTGGCCTTTAACAACAAGTTCTAAAATTTTCTCTCTTGTGTGCAACATGTTGATAGGACGAAACTCTTCGGCTTTAATCGTTCCAGCAACTTTTTCAATAGGGACCACTAAGGATTCCTTCCAAATTTGTGGCACATGTCCAGTTTGTAATGATTCATTAATAAGGTCCAGCAAGATGTGGCCAATGACATGAAAGCAATCTTGAATAACTCTAGCATTAACATTATCTACTCCAGCCGATTTTCCTAATGAAAAACAAATAATTCTAAGTTCATCTGATGTGATTGGGTGAAAAACTTCAAATCTACAACTACTATTAACTGGCTGTTTTATTTATAAAGATCTTTTATGCATAAAGATCTGACAGACAACCAAACTGTGTTCAAATTTCAGTTCAAGGAATTCGATTTTAGGACAGTTGTTTTATTTCAAATTTGAAATTTCCTTGTGCAGTTATTTCAGTTACAACAGAGTAAGGAGTGTGATAGACTTCACTTTTTGAAAGGCATCTAGTTCGAAGTTCCACATATGATATGTACCTATAGTCTGTCAATTAAGGTAACAATTATGAATCAGCACTTATTCTCCACGATGCAAGTGTAAGAAGTTACGATAATCCTTTTCTCAGTCGTCATTCTTGGCTCCCTGGAAATTATTCCCGGACGCAACGTGCCCAACTGCACGATTTTGCCAGTTTTTAATCATAACTATTCCACGTAAGAGCGACTTGAAAGACTTGAAGGACATAAGTGCATCAGCAATCAAATCACGAGGTGATACAGCTGGAGCTTGTCATTGTCACAATACCGCACGTGGTTTCACGCTTGTCAGACATACGACATAGAAAAGTTATTAGACGCATCTTCATCGAAATTTCAAAAGGGCAAAATTGCGTTAAATATCTAACAATAATAACAATTTGGGACTCTTTATCAAGTCTAACGGTACGTATGGAAAGGAAAATAAATTAAGAACTCATCTTCGACAGAAACAATCCATGTTTTGTTCAAACCCGTTCGAAAAAGAGGAGGTAGGAGCGTTGTGCTTAGTATGACTGTAAGTTTCAGTGAGACTAAAATCAAGTGCGTGAATAGTTCATTAGATCCTCACCACGAGACCTGTGTAAAAAGGGAAACAATAGTATCATTTCCTGCACATCATAGCCGATAGATTTGCAGTAGCTTGCCACACGCGAGTACGAGTAGTAATTAGCGGTTTCCGTTACCGGATCTATCAAATCTCAATTAGGAATCACACAGGCACCTATGCAATCCAACACCAACCCTCATCGTCATCATCGAGAATGGCGGCAGCAGCTCAGTTTTTCAAGTGACATTTTTTTCGCGATAGAGTTACATCCGCGATAGATAATAACATAACCAAATAGCTACCCAGATGGCGTAAGGGTGTGCACTTTTACACCG